ACTGAAATTTTTGCCCTAGAAGAAGAAGAATCAAAACAAAGAGACACATAACTAGTTTATATATATGCTGTTTTATCGGCCTATATTCTCTATATCTCTGACTAACTTAACTAGCTAGTTCATGTTGTTGTCCTTTCATGTTCAATGATTGGTATGATGATTGAACTTGGTAATTACAATCCGGCTTAACTGCAGTCTAGGGGAAACCATATCCGGGTGACCTCTCTTGACTTGACAACAAACCGTTTACTTGCTTTCTGTTTTGTTTGCTTGAGTTTCACTAAAAGTTCACCGCTAAATAACAAGAATTCACCGAGTAGTCATCATATCTAGGACCCGGGTTGACATTAAAACCCGACCCGCTATACTACGCTTTAGGAAGTGGTTATACTTGGCCATTTTCTAGGGTGATAGTAGGAGTGAGTCAGGTACTCTGCCCCCAAGAGTGATCCCTGGCAGCCAAGGTACTGATCATCTAGTTCAGTTCGAGTGGAGTCTTGGTGAGAATATCCCCTCCTAGGCATAGAGACTCGATCACCCTCTGACTCTCTGGGGTTAGAGCGCTATAGAAATTCCCCACTGTGAATGCATCACTAAAACCGTGATGGGGACATTGCCAGAAGAACCCTGAGTACCGCTCCTAGGCATCACGAAGAGACTCATCTGGCTCCTGGAGGAAATGAGTAATCTCCCGCTGTATCTCTGTAGTCTTCGATGCCGGATAATATCTGTGCACGAAATTGTCAGCCAAATCGTCCCACGATGTGATGGATAGTTGGGGCTGGGTCTCTAACCACCTCTTCGCATGCCCCGCCAGAGAATGGGGGAAGAGGTGAAGACGGATCGCATCATGGGGTACACCATTCATCTTGAACCCGTTTGTCAGCTGAATGAACTAGGAAAGGTACACCCTTGCCTCCTCATCCTTCAAGCCATGGAACTGGATAGAAGATGTAATCAGTTGAAGCCAGCATGGCTTGATCTTGAAGTTGTTTGCTGGAATGGGCGGATAGAGGATGACGGGGCGGTTGTCAGCGACCCGTGGAGTGTAGTAATACTCCATGGTAGGACCCGACGGCAGTGGTTGATGTTGAAACCCACCTGCCTGGGGTATTGGATTGTTCCCCAAGATCTGATTCACTGGGGGCACCTGGAGAGGCATCCCCTGGGTGCAGTTGATGCTGTAATTACCTAATACACCAACAAACCAGGGTATACAAATTTTAGGAGATTGGTATTATGCGAGTTGAACGGTAAGGAGAGAGGTAAGGTGCAATCTGTTACTAACTCTATTAAAAATGAGAAGCAAAGAAAGAATATTAGAAGACCAATATTTTGATTGTTTTGATAGAATTGAAAGACGCAAACACCATCCTACACTAGATACAAGTACAATGCTAGCGCCTGGACATTAAACTCACAGCGCTCCTAGTTGGCAAGTCCCAGTAATGGCATCTACATTTTGTAATCTCCCATGCATCACGAAGTGACTCATCTGGCTCTTGGCGGAAGTGAGTGATCTCCCGCTGAATCTCTGTGGTCTTCGATGCCGGATAGTACCTGTGCACGAACTTGTCTGCCAGATCGTCACAAGAAGTGATGGACAATGGGGGTTGGGTCTCCAACCACCTCTTAGCATTCCCCGCCAGAGAATGGGGGAAGAGGTGAAGGCGAATTGCGTCATCCGGGACACCGTTCAGCTTGAACCCATTCGTCAGCTGCAGAATACGGGAAAGATGTACCCGGGCTTCCTCATCCTTCAAGCCATGGAACTGGATAGAGGATGTAATGAGTTGAATCCAGCATGGCTTGATCTCGAAGTTGTTTGCAGGAATGGGCGGATAGAGGATGATCGGGCGGATGTCAGCAATCCGTGGAGTATAGTAGTACTCCAAGGTGGGACCCGGTGGTGGGGGATGATGATGAACCCCAGCTCCCTGGGGATTGGGGTCGTTCCCCAGGATCTGGTTCACCGGAGGTGGGTTGTGATCGCCCTCCATCTCGTACTCGTCCTCGGACTCGCTGCTCAATTGGCCGTCTCTGCGCTCCACCGTAGCCAGTCTAGCTCGCTGTTGTCTCCGAAGTTGGTTGCAGGTGCGTTCAATCTCTGGATCCAACGGCAGTAAACCTCCCGACTGGCTACGGGTCATGCACTATCTGCACACAATCAAGCAATGCAAACCCGTGAAGGCACAAGTGGGAAAGAACAAACACTCAATGCGAAAATGAAAATGCTAAAGTAACATAAATCACTTTTCTTCAACAACCTAGCCGTCCCCGGCAACGGCGCCAAAAACTTGACTCACTCCTACTGTCACTCTAGAAAATGGCCAAGTGTAACCACTTCCTAAAGCGTAGTATAGCGGGTTTGGGTTTTATTGTCAACCCGGGTCCTAGATGTGATGACTACTCGGTGAATTCTCGTTATCTAGCAGTGAACTTTTAGTGCAGATTCAAACAAACAAAAAAAACACAAAGCAAGTTTAACGGTTGTTCAAGTCAAGAGAGGTCACCCGGATATGGTTCCCCCTAGACTGCAGTTAAGCCGGATTGTAATTTACCAAGTTCAGTTTTCATAAAAGTTATACTGCGGAAGGTTCTTAAATAGTCTGAAGTCTCGACTAAAGGTCTTCAGACCCTCTCAATCTGAGTCTCTAGCGGGCGACTAACCTCCACCGGAGTAAACAGATTGAGGCCCTAACGAGCCAAACCTCCACTACCGAATTGAATTCGGTACAGAATAGCGAATTGGCTCCTCGACTAAAGTCACCAATTCGCTACCTTCAATTAAGTCTGGGCCTAGGCGTAATAGTCATATAGATAATCCTCCATACCATTGAGGGTGTAGTTCTTGTAGAGAGAATCATTCTCTTTCAACTTTGTAACACCAGTCTTCTCGACACCGATAGAATCTTCGGCCACATGCGGCAGTGTGGAGGAGAGGGATATTATTAACTTTTTGGTCATCTGATAAAACAATATCTTATGTTTTCAGCATGTGAAATTTACTCCTTAGAAAAGAAGGGGTGATTCTATTAAAACCCTTACTAAGGAGTATTTCCCTAGGATATCTCTCAAAACCCTTACTTCAGAAGAAATGTATGATTCTATTAAAGAATAGAGCAATTTATGAGGTGGAGGTGCCTCCGATTTTGCAGAACGTAAGATTAAACAAAGAATGCGGTGCAGAAACGTAAACCTAAGCTACTGGATGAGTTCGAGATCGGATAAGGAAGGTTTTACATAGCCAAGCTCCATCTAGGTCCCCTAACCATGCATCCCTCAATGATCGGTGGCATACAAGATGTCGATTTCATATTTCGTTAGATCAAACCTTTTGTTAAAACATTTACCAGAACTAATGGGCAATAAGGACCCTTCGGATTTCTCCCTTGAGGCGTCACGCCGTTTGATCGAATGACGATCGATCAAATAGGACCGCCATTTTTAGGCATAATCCTAAGCAACTTGGATTTTGATCCTTGCACCTCAAAGGAGTGAAGATCAACTAAGCTCATTCGAATCGACAAATAATGAAATACATTAAAGAAAAAATCAACACATATGAAGGAAAAAAACAATTTATTAAACCAAGCATCGAGCTTTACATTGTTGGAACCCTAGGGTTCACATAGCTATGCAACTAAAGAACCAGCCAACCATGGGGAGGGGGTTCTTGGGTGTTCATCGATTGAAACAAAGACTCCAGAAGCCCACAGGGATTGACGCCACCAGTAGAGAAAATAGGGCCAAAATCACCATTTCGGGCGCCGATTCCCCCTCGAAGGTTGGTGTGGCTCTAAGAAAGGAGGGTTCTCTGTCGGCAGAGTAATGAACCTTTCTAAGGATGGAATCTCGTAGCTCTAGCATCATCCAGCCAATCAGAAGGCTCCAATCACATGGCTAGCGAATCATGAGGCTCCAAGGTGACTTTCTGGCAAGAGATCATGGGCCAGACTTCATGCTTACGAACTAAAAGTCATAATCGTGTCATTTTTCGCAGTCTCAAAGTGAAGGACTGCGAGATGGACCATGAGATCTTAGGTAGTCTTGCCACCAACTTCTCCTAGTTTGCAGCTCTAACGATAAGATCGCAGCCGTGAACTCATTTTGGCTTACATCTTCTAGGTCGTGAACTTTCACTTTTGGCTGTGATATTCTCTTTTCACTCTTTTTCACACTTTTCTACACTTGATCTTGGATTTCTGGTTAAATGGGAACCAGAAAAATTTGAAGTGAAGTGGGAAGTGTTCATCGAGGAGTACAATGTGGGTCACATCCAGTGGTTTACCCACCTATTTGAGCAACGATCTGAATGGGTCTACACATACATAAGGTCCAAGTTTTGTGCAGGCTTGACAACAACATCGAGATACGAAGGAATGAACAATCGACTGAAAAATTATATCAAAACGCATCATAATCTGCTGGAGTCCTTCAGCCATTTTGATTGTTGGACCACAGACATGATGGAAACGGATATGCGGTTTGATTTCGAATCGATCCACCAAGACCGAACAATTACATCTAATGTCTTAGCCCCACTTCAGAAGAGTGGCTCCAAGTTTTATACGAAGGAGGTGGTTTTGAAGCTCAAAGTTGAGATTAAAAAGTCGACAAGCTACATAAGGGTCGATAGGGAGATTTTCGAAAATCAACATAATTACATGATAAAACTGACGGGTAAGGAGAGGGCTTTCTAGGTGAAGTACACGATTGACCCATTTGCACTAGAGTGTAGCTGTCAGTATTTCATTTTTATGGCAATACCGTGCTCTCACATGATTTGTGTGTTAAAAGAAGAAACTATAGTAGAATTTCCACATCAGTTGGTGAAGCCGAGATGGTCAAAATAGCCGAAGAGTGTTGCAGGAAATGAAGTCAATGATGCTGATGTCGCTCGACTGTTCACTTCCAGGTCAACAATTCTTTTTACAATGCCTACATCATCAAGTCACCTATTGAGGAGGCTTTTGTTTAAATTTATTCATCTCTAATGTTTACCTTCTTTCAGGTACGACTTTATCCACCAAAGAGTTGGACACGATGACCGCTGGTGCTACTGACTTACCTGACATCAACTGACCTGCGGTGGCATCCGAGAGGGTCCTTGACCCACACCCAACACCATATAAAGGGGGTAAACTAAGCAAGAGGAAGAAAGGAGAGCCAAGAGCGTGCAACAGATGTGGGGTACTGGGTCATAAGAGAAGCACTTGTATGCAGCCTATAGGGTACGTGCGGCCTACAGTTTCACAACTTGCCACACAATAGAGTAATGTCCCTCAATGCAATCCCGAATCCAACCAGGTACCACAAAATGGTGATGCTCCTAATAATGAAGATCATGCGGGTACATCAAATCCCCAATAACGAAAATGTTGTAGGAGATACAAATAAACAACCCATGATGCCAGAACATGTACAAAACCAACATCCAATGAGGAGGATGAGGACGCCGAGGATATTTGTCGAGTATGCTGCTCTAGCAACTCTCCTGAGCAAGTAGAGGTGGTGTATTACCCCAATTGCCAAATCATATGGTTTTTGTGTTAGTAAGGAAAATTAAACTCATATTAGCTGTATCGCACTAGTGCTATCCATAAAGAAGTCAAACGAAACAGAACTCACCACACCTATATCGCCTAACAGACGGCGCAACTAGACTATCTAAAAAACCACATAAGACATCGCCCATTATTCTGCCTCTGTAGATGACTCACTAAAACCAACACAAACAAACTATGACCAAGTGTAATCGCAGTCTAGTAATGTAGTATAGTGACTCACGTTCAATTTGTCAACCCGGGTCCTAGGTCTAAACAGAAAGCAGGAAATGTTCTGGTTCCAAGTATAAGAAAGATCACCAAGGTATGTGTCCCCTAGTCTGCAGTTAGTTCAGATTGTAATTTCCCAAGTTCATTTCCATTGACAGATATACTGCGGAAAATTCTTAAAATATGAAATCTCAACTAAAGAATTTCAGACCCGCTTAGTAAGAATACCCGACGGGCGACTAACCTCCACCGGCGTAAGCTAATTGAGACACTAACACACCAAACTTCAACTAATGGCTTCAATTCTAGTACAGAGCAATGAATCTATTCCTCGACTAAAGACTACATTTAATTTTCCTTTCGGCTATATGTGAATGAATTATTTTGGATATAATTAGTTTTAATTCTATTTATTAAATATTTATATTATACAAAGAGGACAGAGGTAGTTTCAAATCCTGCCTTCGCCACTGGGGTCCAGATCGGGTGAGTAACTGATGGGTTAGTAACCCATTAGTAACCCCTTCCCTGGTCCCCACGTGTCAGTCACTTTTTTATTTAAATTAAATGTGAAAGGGCAGTACGGTAAAATTGCACTTACTCCTATTTATTGCTGATGCCGACTTTTGACCGTACAACATCAGTGCCTCATTCTCTCTCCTCGCAAAATATTTAATTTTCATTCTCTTAATCTTTAACGGACGATTTCTCACTCGTTTTAAGTCGAAATTTAATTTTTTTTTTTGCACAGTTAGATCAGATTAATTGTGCTCTTCAAAATGATATCCACTTTGATATTTTTTGGACACAAAAAAATTTGTCAGTTATTACCACTCTATACCATATGGTATTGACTGGTATTAAATAAGAGCATACCATATGGTATGAAATTTTTTGCCACATGAATATATATTTTGTTACCACCCAATACCATATGGTATAGTGTGGTAATATCAATATATATTTCGTTACCACCCAATACCATATGGTATAGTGTGGTAATATCAATATATATTTCGTTACCACCCAATACCATATGGTATAGTCTGGTAATATCAATATATATTTCGTTACCACCAAATACCATATGGTATAGAGTGGTAATACCAATATATATTTCGTTACCACCTAATACCATATGGTATAGTGTGATAATATCAATATATATTTCGTTACCACCCAATACCATATGGTATAGAGTGGTAATACCATATGGTATAGAGCGGTAATACAAATATATATTTCGTTACCACATAATACCATATGGTATAGTGTGGTAATACCAATATATATTACCTAAAAGAAAGGGGAAAAAACCGCTTAATTACTTTATCCCAGAAGTTTTTATTCATTTTGTAATAACCCTCCTCTTATAAGTTCTTGTATATCCACTTGTTTGTAACAATCTTCCTTCCCTGTGGTCGTTTGACTAGCTCCCAAGTCTGATTCTCCACCAATGTCTTCCACTGCTTGAACTTCGTGAAAGCCTCACTTTTCTGCTTCATCATGAAAATCCAAGTAAATCTCGAATAATCATCAATAATAGACAGAAAATACATGCTGACTCCAATGGATTCAACTCGTGAAGGACCCCAACAGTCAGAGTGGAGGTAATCTAGTATCCCCTTCGTCCGGTGGATACCCTTCTTGGGAAACGTGCTGCGATGTAGCTTCCCAAACACACAATGCTCACAGAATTCCAAATTCTGCACCTTGTGCCCGCAAAGAAGATCCCTCTTCGACAGAACTTGCATCCCTCGTTCACTCATATGCCCCAGTCTCATGTGCCAGAGAGTGGTCATATCTTCCTGATGAACCTGAGACGATGCAACTGCAGCAGAACCAGACAACACAGACCCTTGTAATGCATACAAGGTCCCACGCTTCACGCCCTTCAGCACCTTCCTTGAACCTTTGCAGACATACACAACTCCACCTTTTCCTTTGAAGCTGAAACCCTTGCTGTCGAGTAGACTCAAGGAGATCAGGTTCTCTGTCATTCGTGGAACATGCCTGACATCATTCACGGTACAGAACGAACCATCATGTGTCCGAACCTTTATGGACCCGATTCCAACAACCTTGCAGACAGCTCCATTAGCCATGACCACGTTACCACCATCTATCTGCTCGTAGGTTGTGAAGCAATCCCTGTTCGGAGACATTTAAGCGGTTTATGTGGTTAGAGACTATGCCCAAGTCCCACCCGGAGTTATACGACGAATTCCCCCAACCACCACCACCACCGGCAACAATGCTGTTGCTCCCTGAAGATTCTTCTTGCATTTCCATTTCTTCTTCCCTACCACATGACAACCCACCTCCCCTTCTCACAGTCACATACTTGTGGAAGCTCGGTTCCATGAGATCATCGATTGTCACCACCTCGGATTCCACCAAAAAAGGGTCTTTCGCCTTGGACAGCTGCTGCTGCTGCTTACGGTGATGATCTTCAGACAATGTGGATGACAAGTTGGAGCTTGTGGTAGAGTTGAGGTCAGCCACTGCGTCAAGGATCGAGCACGCTTTTGTGACACAAGCCGGTAGCTGGAATGACGACGACATCGATGGAGGAATGTTGCTGCTGTTGTTGCTGATTATGTTAGTGTTACTGCTCTTGTTATGGAAGTTGTGGATGTCTTCCAGCAACAATGAAGTGTAGGACGTTTGCTGTGGATTGAGTAAAGCTTCAGTATTTATATCCAGATCTCGGGATCTCCTTGATGACCTGCTCCTCGTCAGCGGCTGCTTCAGGCTTTCAGCAGCAGGCAGAGGGTTTTGCTTCTACAAATTGGCAATTGCAAAACAAGGTTAGTCAATAATCTTGTTTACAGCTGAAAAGGAGTTGTGGAAATCAAACTACCAAACAGAAAATTGAATGAAACCCAAACCTGAATCGGTTCCCTGCCATCATTATGTGCCCAATTGCTGCTGGCTTTGGCCCCGCTGGCTTGCGGGTAAGCCAGAGAGCTAGGGTCAATTTCAGCAAGTGGGTTCCTCCTGTGAGGAGATTGTTCAGCTTTCCTTGAGGAGTTCCTGCTCAGCGATGGCTGCTGTTGATTGCAGTCGCTCCTGGCTCTTCCAGGGGACTTCGAACGAGGAGACTTTGAACGGGGAGACGCCACACTCCTGGAACCCACAGCAGCAGCAGAAGGAGCTTCCCCACCAGCGTTCCTCTTCACAGAAATCCGTTTGATTCCGCTGCTGTTTGCTGCCTGTGCAGCTTCGACGCCATTGTTGTTGTTATTGGAATTGGATTTATTGGAAGAAGGAGCAGAGGAAACTGTAGGCGGGACGGAGACCATTTTCCCAGGCGGCTTATTCCCATTGCCATTGTTATTGTTATTGCTGTTGTTGTTAGCAATGGAATTGCCAGCGTTCGCCGCCGCGGTGGCGGCAGCGGCGTTGTTCTCCGATCTTCTCCCGGGAGATCTGCTAACCCGCCGTCCACTCCCGCTGCCGCCAGGGCCTCTCTCTCTGCTCCCGGAGCGCTGGTCCCTCTCCCTACTGGGCGTCCTCCTCCTCGCCTGAGAAGCCGGCGAGGAGTTCCGGCTGGATTGGCGGTGGCGGTGCTGCCTTCTGCTGTCTCTCCTCTCATCCCCGCCGCCGCTGGGTTAAAGATCGAACTCCAATGTCCTTTGATCGCTCCAATCATTTCCCAATGTTGTTCTTCGTCATTTACTCTCTCTAGGGTTTTCTCTAGTTGTTTTAGAACTTGCAAAACCTGATGTGTGGAAAAATCCCGAGTTTTAGCCTTGTAAGCCACGATGTTGAAATCCACGGTCGAAGAAAGGGCCTCCAGACCTTAGAATTCTAACATGGTGTGTGTCCTTAAGTGGCCCTCGTAGGAAATCCAAGGTCACCTCGGATAAATCCCTAATCGTGGAATATAGACAACAGACCGGGGAATATCCATGGTCAAAATCCACAATTCAAGCTAAAGATCCACGGTTGTGTATTTGGACTCCCAGGTCGTGGATTTGGATGCTTTGTCCTCTGAGTCCCGTCTACTCTCCAATTGCACTCAAACTTGCTCCTAAACCCCCCATTCACGTACTAGGACTTGAAACAACATCAACAAGCACTACCTAGCATAAAATGGGCCAAAAAGCAGTCAAATGCCAAGCAAAACGGTCAAGAAATGCCGAGAAAAATATGTGTAAATACAGTGTTATCATTAGACGTTTTTAAAAAATTTTCCTGCTTCTTACATCACCAAGATATAAAACGTCAGCAAATCAAATGCACTATGCCGTATTACAACATCGTGCATCAGCGCACCCTGCAAAATCAGAGTCTGAATATGCACTCAAGGAGGACGAACCATCACAAGGGAACCATAATCCAACATCACCTGTTCCTTGCAAATAGCATAGAATATGGTGCACTGCAGACAAATGATCTACACACGAAGCAGTCATTAACTGGCTCACAAGCTTTACAACATCGAAAATATGTGGACGGGGCGCAGAGAAATAGATGAGACTGCCTAATATGCTCCAATATTTTGATCAATCAGACAACTTTTCTCTGAAATCTTTACTAAGCTTCACATTTAGCTCTATAGGTGTAGACATCGGCCTAGAGTCCTCAAAGTTATGCTCCCCAAGCACATTTGCAATATATTTACATTGACTAAGTAGAATTCCCTTCGAGTTGTGAGAAACCTCAAAGATAAGAGAGTAAAAATGCTCTCCCAAATCCTTAAGATGAAAGGAGTTCTTCACAAATAAGGACGAATCATTGAGGTTCTGCTGAAAACCAAGACATAGGATGGTAGACTGAAACTTCCCAAATCACGCACAGGGTGCTTGTTTGAGTCAATAGAGAGTTGATGTAAAATTCAGACCTGATGATAACAACTAAAATAGGAGTTATTTATCCCTTATTCTTAAGGAATTTGCATGTTAAATCACCGTGTCTAGACCACATATCAAGTTACTCATGCCTATTTCATTCCTATTTGCAAAACATGCATTTTGGCAAAGGTATTCTCGATATGAAGGTTTTCATAGGGGACAATCACACGAACTCTTAGTACCAACTCCAAATTGCGCAATAAGGTGGATTTCCACTCCAAATGACTTGTAATGTTGATAGACATGTGATTCAATGATTGGTTTAGTCATATAAACACAAGTCATTTGGAGTGGAAATCCACCTTATTTGTGTCATAATGACAAGATGTGCACCAGTACGAACTCTTAGTACCGACTCCAAATTGCGCAATAAGATGGATTTCCACTCCAAATGACTTGTAATGTTGATGGACATGTGATTCAATGATTGGTTTAGTCATATAAACACATAAACCGCTTAATTGTCCTTGTTCATAATCAAAATTGTTGAGGGCAATTTGGGATAATAGGTCCACAGAAACGAATATAATAATATTATATATGATATAACAAATCAAAAAGAAAAGATAAATTTGGTAAAAACTGAAAAATATGTTATGAAAATATCAAGATACAAATTCGGTATCACGAGGATTTTTTTCTCAAAGTACACATGTTCTATAAAATAATTTTCAAAATACATACGTTTTAATAAAATTTCTCATTCTACACATTTTCACCAAATCACTGTAGTCAAACGCGGTAAAATACCCTGAGCATCAAGCTGGGAAAGTGGTCTCGATCGTTTGCAGCAGCCTCTCCCTCTCTCTCTCTCTCCATTCCTCCTCTCTCCCTTCTCTCCTACTAAAAAATGACCTTAGATTGCTGACGCCTAACGAAGTGAAAAAGCCCCACGCCGCCCATTCCAGTAATGGAGATGGATGCTGAAGGCGGCGAATCCGGTCTCCTTCCTCCACTAGGTCTTAACGACCCTAGCAGGATCGACCGAAGAAGAGCGATTATGGGTTGGTTGTAGGGTGATGATGATTAACAAGTGAATTGGCGGAAGATCTGGGAAGCTCCCGGTCATTCTTCTTCCTCCTTGGGTCAGCGGCAAGGCTGTGATGCCCCTTCATCATTCTCCTTCACATTTGGGCTCGACGGTAGAGGCTGAAGTCTGCTAGTGGACATAATGACAAGCGAAGCGAATTGTGCGACGGCGACTTAATATGCCCAAGTCCCATATCTGCATACTCTCGACAGTGCTGCTGAGCGAGGAATGTTCTGCCGTCCTGCAGAACAAGCTGCTCGAAAAGCGCAAGGACCCAGGGAGTTTTACTATCCCTCTTACTATTGGCAGCATGCATATAGGAATGTCTTTGGCGGACCTAGGCGCTAGCATTAATGTCCTGCCATACAAATTGTTCAAGAAGCTAGACCTAGGTGAACTTAGCCCTACTAGCGATAGGTGAACCTTGGGCATATTAAGTCGTGGATGGTGGCGGCTAAGCCTCGCTTGATGTTGGGGGAGTTTGATGATGGGGAGGGACGAATCGGAGCGACATAGGGCTGAATCTCAGTGGATCGTGGCAGCAAGGCCACTCTGCCAGCGGTATTGCATAGAAAGATCATTGTAATCAACATCCTCATCATCAGTCTCATACACGTGCACATCCACCTTCTTCAGTACAGCTCCAGCCTTGAGCAAATATGCCACCATATTCATCTGATCTTTATCTGCGTGGATATTTTTTACCTTAATTTCCTCGAGGCTTGACAACAGACACTGAGGGGTGCGAGCAAGTTTTTTCGACTTCGTCCACGACATTGACGCATCCTCTTGCTCCATGCACATAGTCATTATGGATAGTGGTAGTATGTAAGGAACACTAACATAAATGAACTTCAAATCTCACTCTCCTTAACCACAAAATGGCATTATAATTTATAAGTGGCAACAATTCCGATCTTACAGGTTCGTTTTGACATGTTTCGAATGCCGATTTGTTTATGACGGATGGTTAGTAGTGATTTTGAAAAATACACGATTCAACTTATATACATCATATTTTATTTTGGTTTAAATCCAGTTAATATTTAGTGCGAGTCTCAAAGGCTTGAAGAACTTGTCTTCACTCACTTTGTCAATCACAGTTTTGTGGAGGCATCCGATCAAGGCATCACAAAGGATCCTCATTTGCTCATTGTGTACATGGATCCTCCTCATTCATGCCTTGGCCATGAAAGCATGAAGATTTGAATGGACCGGGACTTGGGAAATAATAGAGGCATAGTGAGCCGGGACTTGGGCATGTAAGGGTCTCGGAGTTTTGATCTATCATCGTATTATTGCCCGTGACATGGGGCATGGGGCATGGGACATGGGACTTGGGACTTGGGACTTGGGCATATTAAGTCGCCCTGGGATATTACTGTATGGTTTAAATCCCCAACATCGCAATGTGTTGGTTTGGTGTGCGACCCCAATTCTTCCACCTTTTGTGCTATACTTTTAGGAACAACATGCCACTAATTATAAAGAGATTGAGAGTTGTTGATTCAAGTCAACCATATACTAACAACTCAACTAAAAGGGGACCATCAAAAGTTGAGCGCAAATGAAAAAATTAGAGGTACCTCCTGTTTGTGCCTGAACAAATGCACATAGAGGGGGGTGCCTGGGCCCGCTAGTCCTTCGACGATCAAGTTAGTACGAGTTTTAGAGAAAGAAGTGTCTAACTCTAACTTTATAATGAGAGAGACCTGCATAAATGCTACCTACCGACCCAATTTATACTCACCCTATCCTGGATCAGACTCCCTCAACCCAGCTCCATTTGGAGGGACTCCATTGAAACAACTCGTGGGCTTTGAACGCGTGCATACGTTTTCAGGTCGGTCAACCGAAGCAAGCATCTTGGTCAACCCTTGCAGACACTTCAGCATAGCAAATGAGGGAGGGAAAAGGGTGATGGCTCTGGGAAACCATATCTTGATGCTTGGAGACTTGGAGCATACCGTTGCAATTGAAACTCGTTAGCTCTATTTTCTTCAATTTCCATTCTGCCGGTTTATGATAATCTGGAAGAAGTATGTTTGTAACAGGAAAACTCAAACGTAAATCCTTTTTCTTTGCCCTTATGCTTTTCTCCAGGTGATCAAGTTTGTGAGGAAGATTGTTGTTCACGGCAGTTGTATTGATTTGTAAGTTGGTATCCTTACTTTAAGTTGGCTCTGCAATCCTAACTTGTGGTCGTCCGACTTTAAGTTCCATTGCTTCTAAAGTGCTTACTCAATTGTTTTGATGCTTTCAAATTGAAGTTTGGATGACGAACCATATCTTGGATTCTTAGCGACTTTAAGTTCCACCGTCGGACTTCAATCATGTTCTTAACCCGCTTTCTCCTCCCGGCTCCATAGTTAGTAAATACTCAGTTTAATACACGTATATGTACCCATATGATGAGATTTTGTTAGAAACCCACTTTTGGGATTCTCTTATTAATTTTAGTACAATTATTATTATTATAGTTAATAGAGATTTGGTCGAATTAGGATTATTATCATTAGGTTTCCCTATGAAAACCTTCATATCGAGAAGGCTTAGCCGCCACCATCCACGACTTTACCAAAATAAAATATGAACAAGGACAATTAAGCGGTTTATGTGTTTATATGACTAAACCAATCATTGAATCACATGTCCATCAACATTACAAGTCATTTGGAGTGGAAATCCATCTTATTGCGCAATTTGGAGTCGGTACTAAGAGTTCGTACTGGTGCACATCTTGTCATTATGACACAAATAAGGTGGATTTCCACTCCAAATGACTTGTGTTTATATGACTAAACCAATCATTGAATCACATGTCTATCAACATTACAAGTCATTTGGAGTGGAAATCCACCTTATTGCGCAATTTGGAGTTGGTACTAAGAGTTCGTACTCGTGCACATCTTGTCATTATGACACAATTAAGCGGTTTATGTGTTTATATGACTTAATCTAAAAGGTT